CAGCAAGCAACCAAAACAAAGAACCAAGAAACTGCCTGGAGGAAGAGAAGGTCTTGGAGTTAATGGAGGTAGAATTCAAAAGATTAATATACAGAGCTCTTCAAGTGATCAGGAAGGAGATCAGGCAAAACTCAGACCAAGCCAAGGAACATACAGACAAAGCAACAGAGGAACTTAAGAAGATTATACAAGAGTAAAATGACAAATTTAACAGGCTGCAAGAATCCATACAGAGACAGCAAACAGAAATCTAGAAGATTAAAGATAAAATTTCAGAATTAGACATCTCAGTAGAAAGTCATAGGAGCAGAATTGAGGCAATGGAAGTCAGAAGTAGTGAGATTGAAGACAAAGCACTTGACATCAATTTATTTGAGGAAAAATCAGATAAAAGAATTTAAAAAAATGAAGAAACCCTAGGAATTATGTGGGACTCTATCAAGAGGAATAACCTATGAATGACTGGAGTACCAGACAGGGCGGGGGGCGGGGTGGGGATGACAGAAAATACACAGAATTGTTGAAGATTTGTTGGCAGAAAACTTACCTGATATTGTGAAAAATAAGAAGATATCTATCCAAGAACCCTACCCAGGGTAGATCCCAAAAGAAAGTCACCAAGACATATTATAATCAAACTTGCCAAAACCAAAGACAAAGAGAGAATTTTAAGAGCAGCTAGCGTTAAAAGAAAAGTCACCTACAAGGGAGTGTCAATAAGACTAAGCTCTGGCTACTCAGCAGAAACTATGTGGCAAGAAGACAATGGGATGACATATATAAAGCCTTGAAGGAAAAAAATTGCCAGCCAAAAATTATCTATCCAGCAAAACTGTCTCTCAAATACTATGGTGAAATTAGGGCATTTCCAGATAAACAGCAGTTTAGGGAATTTGCAAAAACCAAACCAAAATTACAAGAAATACGAAAGGGAGTCCTCCGGTTAGAAAATCAGTAATATCAGATAACAACCCAAGACTAGAACACAGGACACAGCAACCAGATATCAACCCAGATAGGGAAGTCACAAAAATAAGTCAAAGCTAAAATACAGAAAATAAGGAAACAGGGACGTCAATATGTAAAAGATGACAACATTAAAACAAAAAAGAGGGACTAACTAATGTAGTCATAGAACTTTCATATGGAGATGAAGTCAACGTGATATTAAGAAATAAAAGATGGATTTAAACTTAGAAAAATAAAGGTAAATATTAAGGTAACTACCAAGGAAACTAACAATCCTACACATCAAAACAAGAAAAACATAAAGACTCAGCAAACACAAAATCAATGACAATAAAAACAATGAAAAGAAAATAAAGAAAAATGACTCAGCACAGAAAATTAAGTGGAACAAAGAAACTGTCAACAACACTGTCATGGATTGAATTGTGTCCCCAAAAAATATCTGTCAACTTGGCTGGGTCATGATTCCCAGTATTGTATAATTGTGTACTATTTTGTAATCTGATGTGATTTCCTTACGTGTTGTAAATTCAATCACTATGATCTAATAAGATGGATTAGCGGCAGTTATACTGATGAGGTCTACAAGATTGGATAGCATCTTAAGCCAATCTCTCTTGAAGTATAAAAGAGAGAAGCAAACAGAGACACATGGCAACCTCAAACCACCAAGAAAGCAGTGCCAGGAGCAGAGCACTTCCTTTGGACCTGAAGTTCCTGCGCTGAGATGCTCCCAGACCAAAGGAAGACTGATGCATCACAAGGACCTTCCTCCAGAGACAACAGAGAGAGAAAGCCATCCCCTGGAGCTGATGCCCTGAATCTGGACTTGTAACCTACTAGACTGTGAGAGAATAAATTTCTCTTTGTTGAAGCCATCCACTTGTGGTATTTCTGTTATAGCCGCACTAGATGCCTAAGACAAACACACAAAAAAATACATCAAAATGACAGCACTAAACTCATATCTATCAATAATTCCACTGAATGTAAATGGACTAAATGCACCAATAAAGAGACAGAGAGTGGCAGAATGGATAAAAAAACACTATCTGTCTATATGCTGCCCACAAGAGACACACCTTAGACTCAAAGACACAAACAAACTAAAACTCAAAGGATGGAAAAAAATATATTAAACAAGCAACAATCAAAAAAGAGCAGGAGTGGCAATATGAATCTCTGACAAAATAGACTTTAAAGCAAAATCCACCACTAAGGACAAAGAAAGACACTACATAATGATTAAAAGGTCAATACACCAGGAGGACATAACCATAATATTTACCCACCCGACGACAAGGCTCCAAAATACATAAAACAAACTTCTAACAGCACTGAAGAGAGAAATAGACAGCTCCACAATAATAGTAGGAGACTTCAACACACCACTTTTGGTGAAGGACATAACATCCAGAAAAATGCTCAATAAAGACATGGAAGATCTAAATGCCACAATCAAAACAAATTATGGTATATTATGGTATAATAGAAATTATAAATTATGGTATATTCACACAATGCAATACTACACAACGATAAAGAACAATGAGGACTTCAAGAAACATCTCACAACACGGATGAATCTGGAAGGCGTTACGCTGACTGAAACCAGTCAGTTGCAAAAGGACAAATATTGTATGAGATCACTATTATAAGAACTCAAGAAAAGGTTTAAAACAGAAGAAAGCATTCTTTGAGTGGTCACGAGGGTGGGGAGGGAGGGAGAAGGGAGTTCACTAACTAGACAGCAGACAAGAATTATCTTAGGTGAAGGGAAGGACAACACACAGTACAGGGGGAAGTCAGCACAACTGGACTAAATCAAAAGCTAAGAAGTTTCCTGAACACAACCAAACACTTAAAAAAAAAAAAAGATATAAAAGCAACATTTATAGTATGTTAGTGATAAGTACCACTCCCCCTACCCCCCCCAAAAAATAAAAAATAAAAACAAATTATGGAGTCAATTTTGACTCATGGCAATCCCATGTGTGTCAGAGTAGAACTGTGTTTCACAGGGTTTTCAGTGGCAGACTTTTCAGAAGTAGATCACCAGGCCTTTCTTCCAAGGTACCTCTCGGTGGACTGGAACTGCAGTTAGCACCACCTGAAGTGAGTATGTGGGGTGGGGGGAGGAGTTTTAGATAAAGAAAGGACTCACTGTATTCACCTGGAGCAGCAGAGGAAGAAGGAGAGTCAGAAATATGAGGAGGATATGGAATGTGTGGCTAATTGTCTTCATGAACAACTGTCTCCTTTGCCATGAGACCAGAAGAATGGGCTGGTGCTTGGCTACTATTACTAAACATTTTAATCAAAGATTCCATAGAATAATCCTGATCAAAAGGGGGGGAAATGCAGAGCAGAATTTCAAATTTTCATAAACTCCAGATTTTCTGGAGCCATACAGGTTGCATGAATCCCTGAAACTATTGCCCTGAGATAATCTTTAAACATTAAACCAAAAATATCCCCTAAATTCTTCTTTAAACCAAACAATAATTTAGCATAACTAGTAAAAAATATCTGCCTTGAGCATTATGCTGTTTTAAGAACTATCCATATGGGATCAGACTGACAACAACAACTTGAAAGATTAGATAGGAACCTTGGTGGGCAGTGAATTTATGTTAATGGGGGAGGAACAACTCAGAAAAGGAGGGTGAGAATGGTTGCACAATTTGAAGAATGTAATCAATGTCACTAAATTGTATATGTAGAAACGGTATGATTTGCTGTGTATATTCTCAACAACAACAAATACATTTAAAAAAAGAAAGAAAGGCCTCACCGAGAAGGTGACATGGGAGAAAAGTCTTGAAGGGAGGGAGGGCGAGAGGGAGCCATGCATTGCCTGGAGGGAGAGCATTCCCAGGCCTGGCTAGGAAGAGTGAGGGAGGCCTGAGTGGCTGGAGGGGAGGAGGGTGAGGGTCAGAAGGAAGAAATGTGGGTGGAGCGTGAATTTTAAAAAAAGGTCACCTAGGAAGACAGTACACAATACTGGGGAAACCAGCACAACTTGTTCAAGGAAAGGTCATGGAAGCTCCATAGACACATCCAAACTCCCTGAGGGACTGAATTGCCGGTTGGAGGGCTGTGGGGACCAGGGTCTCGGGGAACATCTAGCTCAATTGGCATAACACAGTTTATAAAGACAATGTTCTACATTCTACCTTG